TGTTTCGAGCCTGGTTGGGGGACAGATAGACACTCAGAGCCGGGGAGAGAGCTCGTCCTTGCAGCCACCGGGCAGCCTCCTGCCCCGGCTGAGCTCTGGACTGGGCACTGGGGAGACAGGTGCAAGAATCCCCACCTTCTGACACACACACACACACACACACACACACACACACACACACATACACACATACACAGAGCAGGGAAATTATATTCTTTTTTTTTGTTTTTTTTTTGAGTTGGAGTCTCCCTCGGTCGCCCAGACTGGAGTGCAGCGGCCGCTCCCGGCCACCGCAACCTCGTCCTGCTGGGCTCCGGCGATCCTTCCGCCTCCGCCTTCCGAGTAGCCGGAATGACAGGTATGCGCTACCACGCCCGGCTGATTTTTTTTTTGATTGATTGTAGAGATGAGGTCTCGCCTGCCCAGGCGGGTCTCGAACCCGCGGGCTCAGGCAATCCACTCGCCTCCGCCTCCCAAAGGCGCGGGATGACAGGCTGAGCCACCGAGCCTGGCGGAAATTATATTCTAATGGGAGGAGGGAGTGGAACACATTTATGCGTAAGTTAGACACGGCAAAGTACATCATTCTTCCTGCCCATCCTTTCATCCACCAAGCCACTTATCCATTCATCTACTAATTCACCCACCAGTCCAGCGACTGACTCACCTACCCATCCATTCGTCCACGAACTTGTCCACCAGTCTCTCCATCCGTCCACGCATTTTCCATCCACTCACCTCTTTGCTCTTTCAGCTAAGAGCTAGCTCATCTACCGATCTCTCCACCAGCCCACCAGGGACTAAGGCACTCACCGATCCACCCACCGTCTCTGCTTCCTCCATTCACCCACTGACCCATCCATCACCCACCCATCCACTTGTCATCTGTCCATTCGCCAATTGCTTACCCACCGGCCCATTCACTGATTCATCCAACTCCTCATGTATGCATCCACCTGCTAGCTCATCCATCCAACCAACCACTCACCTCTCCATATGGTCACCAACCTGTGTGTGCACCCACCGCCCTCTGCAACGTATCTAGGCATTCACCAACACACCCACCCGTTCACACAGTCATTCGTTCCCCCACTCACCTGTGCAGTCACCGGACCGACATAGCCATCATCCACACACTCACTCATTCCCAACTTGTTCGCTCATTGGACAGTGAGAGTGGGGGCTGTTTTGTGTCTGAGCTGTGCTAGGTATGGAGGGTGCAGAGGCAAGCAAACACGGCCCTTCCAACAAGGCGTTCACTGTGTGGTGGAGGAGAAAGACCCCTCGACAACTAAGAGCGTCTGAAAAGCCTGATGCTGGAGAGAAAAAGGCATACAGCCCAGCAGCGGGGAGGCAACATCTGAATTGGGGCTGAGCGCTCTCGAGCCAAAATGGTGGCTTCACTGTTTCCTAAACATCCATGCTCAGCTTTCTGCTCCTGCTTTCATTCCTGCTGTTCCTCCCATCTGGCTTGCCCTCGACTAGTCCCTTCTATCCAAAGCCAACCCGGTCCAAAACTGCCTCTTCCTCCAGGAAGCGCAAGCTTCCTGCCCTCGGTGGTGCCTGCTACTGTGGTCCCCATGCCCTCAGCCCTCCCCCACACCCATTTTGTCCAGTCCTCCTCCATAGGGTCCCCCTTTTGGCTGGACTGTGCCCTCCCAGAGGGCAGAGATGGCACCTTTCTTCCCCTCCAGTCTCCAAGCACAAGACTGGGTATTCAGGGAGTGCCTGACACCTCCCGGGCATGGGCACAGCTCTCAGGTGAGCCAGGCAGGGTTGGATGGGGTGGGAGCTTACCTGCAGGTGGCTATGTCCTGAGAGGTGGGTCATGCCTGAGGCAGCAGGGGGCACCTCCAGACCTAAGATCCCACTGCTAAAGAGGAAATCAGCCGCGGGGTTGAAGCCGGGGGGCTCCAGGAAGTTTGATGGCGTGGGCGTCTGCGGGGGGCGGTAGCTGGTGAGGAAATCTGTAATTCAGACACACAGGGCCGTCGCAGTTAGGGCCAAGGCTGTGGCTTGGAAACAGTGGGAGGAGAGTAGGCCTGGA